TTTCTTAAAGCAATCGTCATTATCTAACCATGCAATAGCTTTGAAGTTTTCATTCGAATATACATCTGCTTCATTAAATGTAAATCCTGACTTCTTTGCAGAGATGACTTTAAAATCTATTGAGTTTGTTTCAAAATTATATGCTATGGTAACTTCTGAAGGTAATGGATGTCCTTCCGCAGTCAGTTGTTCTCTCACTACCGTTTGAAGCTTTGTATTAAAAACTTTCATGTCATCTCCTGTATCTAAGTTCACATACACAGCAACAGGGAAAACTATCTTGCTTCTTTGTTTCATCATTATATCTCAAAACATTAAAGTTCTTCAATAATATTGTTCTTCCTGCTGGAATACTTCGAACCTGTCTGATTTCAATAGCTTTCTCACCTCCTACATACTCTACCCAGTGTCTTGGATATTCATAAGTATACTGACTTTCTTGAATTTTGGTTGGTTTCATCATAACATGTTCATAGTATATCTTTATACTCTTGTCAGTTAGACTCGGTGCTATGTTCTGAATATTTCTGACTTGCATTTTTAATGGAGATAAAATGAAGCATTTAATACATGACGTAGATGAAGACATGAATGAAACTACAGACAAACTTAACTCTTCTCTCATTCTTCCTTTCAGTAAGGACTATGAGTTCTGTTCAAATGGTGTTTATTTCTATTGTGGAAAGATGGGTCAGGAAAGACATTCAACCTCATTCGTCATATACTCATAACAGAACGTTTAGGAAACGACTCTTACTATGACCAAATCATTATATCAGCAACTTCAGACTCTATGGACTCAACAGCGAAAACATTTATGTCAAAAGTTCAAGCCTCTGTCGTTAAAGTTCCAGACAGTGAACTCATTGAATTTCTTCAACGTTACATTCGACGTAAGAGGAAATATTATGCCATCGTTGAATTTATACAGTCAGGAATGCAAAAGACTTCTGAGGAGATGGAAAGAATTATTGACAAACACCACTTACGTCAATACTCAGGAGTTTACGATATGAAACGACTTACAAACTACATTCTGTCAAAACTTTCAAAATACCCCTTCAAAAAATATCCTCAAACACTTTATTAGTTTGTGATGATTTCGCTGGTAAAGGTTTAGTGTCAAAGCCTGACTCACCATTAGCTAACATCATAACTAAAGTCAGACATTACCACTTAACTGTAGCAATACTTATGCAAACATGGCGTTTTCTTGCTTTAAACATAAAACGTCTCATAACTGACTTCGTTATCTTTCAAGGTTTCTCACGTTATGATATTGAACTCATTTGGAAACAGTCAGGTATAACATTACCTTTTGAAGAAATTTGGGAAGCATATAAGTCTCTCATCTCTCCTCGTTCATACCTTGAGATTCATATCATGACTAATACCATTAAAGTCAAAAATATTCCATGGGAACGACCAACATTGTTTTAAATTTATGCTTTATTGACTGATGGTAAACAAATTCCATGCATCTCTGTCGCCATTTCTGTTAATATTTTTGCTGTCATTCATATCATCCACTTCCCCATCCGTTAGCTTTTGAGGATATGCGTTAGAATAGCTGTTCTTAAATGAAGGCTTTTCACCTTTGAGAGCATAAACTCTATAACTTTCTGCATACTTTATGTTTGAACCTCCTGAGCCATCATTGACATAAATTTTTATAGGCTTCCACCCTTTGTTCATATTCCTGCTTCTTCCCTTTGCTCTTTTGTTCAGTAGTTCTACATCTTTATACACAGCTCCTGTCTCAGTGAATTCAACAATATTTTCATTCGTTAGCTTTACATTCAAACCCTTGTCGAGTATATTGTTCATTTCATACATATAAAAGGTTTTTATTCTATATGAAATGAGAAGCAAATCCATCTTAGCTGGTGCCGTTAATGTTCCAATTGAACCAACATCAAATGTTGACTCACGAACGACAAACAATATTGTCATAAAGAACTATAGTTCGAGTGTTTGAAAGAAAAAGAACCAGAGCTGAAATCCGTGAATTTAAACACAGCTTCAAACGCTAACGCTACATCAGATGTTAAGTTAGAGTATCCACCACTGGACCAAATTCTTTCAAGAGAAGCCAACGACAACCCTTACATAAATGTTCAAACAAATCCTTCAGATAACGTAGACCATTACCTTCTTCAGTTATACCAAACAATTTTACTCAAAGACGATAAGAAGCTTTTGATAAATCTTATAAGTAAGAACCAAATAATTCTAACAAAGGAGGACCTTGAAAATGTTATATCACGAATAACAGGAAAGCAATGTGTCATTGACTATCTCGACCCTGAAATCGAATGCTGTGGTCAAACGCCAATATTCATGAAAATAGGTAACATCCGCATCATTGAAACACCAGGAACTACAGGAGTTGAGTTTAAGTATAAATATTCGAACGAGTATACAAAACTATCTACTTACTATAAGCTTTGTTTGAAATATGTTTTAGTAAATTAAAGCAACTTATAGTATCTATCCAAAACTTCTTCAACAGTATCGAACTCATCTTCATAATGCAAACCTAATCTTATTGACTTGGTGCAGTTTTCACTAACACAATATTTTTCTGTTCTCTTGACTGACATAACTAACTCATTTGTTTCATCAAACAGCAACAACCAAAGTTCATGACCTAATACATAACATTCATACTTTATATTTTTAGCTCTGAGTTCTCTTGTAAGCTGTTGCATTTAATATTTTCTAAAAAGTCAACTTCAACAGTCATTCGCACTGGTGCCTTCAGTTCTACAGGCTCTCCTTGAAAGTCAACAAGTCTGAATTGCATGTCTTTCAAATTATGAGGACTAATGCGAACCCATTTACCTAAATGAGTTGCTATGACAGGAACGTTTGGAATGAACATTGAATTGACTGCATAACAGAAGGATTTATTCTACTGAACCTTTACTATTAACTCCTGAAATACCTGTGACATTAGCTATTTTTGACTCAATGTACAAACAATTACCATAACATACGTATGGAACAGATTTCATCTCAATCGTTTTGTCAACACTTTTCAAAGGAAATGTCATATGGTATGCTCCCAAAAGAAGTTGTACTCTATGACTCATTCTTGGTATCTTAAACTCCTTCGCATAACTGAACTTCAAAACTCCTGCAATAAGTTTAACATTCATTAAGTTTTCTTCGTTATCCTTGTTTATTGTAGTATTTATGAGAGCATTTAACACTCCAGCTAATGTTTCCATCTTATATTCTACATTATTGTGAAATCTTATTTCGTGCTTCTTTCCATCTATTTCAAGCTCCATGAAATCTGTTTCGTCAGTTATAACGAATGAAGCATAGTATTAAGTCAACCATTCTGAATGCAAGTGGCTCATTCTGAAGACCTAAGTTTGTTTGTAGCTTTACTGTCCCGTATTCGTTTGGGTCTGTACTTTGCAAATAGAACAACATTTTATTCTCATTAAAATATGAGTATTGCTGCATATGCGTATGAAGCTGACAGAGCTAAACGTTTATATTTTGGTCAATACTCTCTCACACTTACTGACAAATATATTGTTATTTCTGATGGAAATACCGAGAAATACATAACATGGAAGGACTATGAAAAGTTTGACCCTATTTTAACTCCATGTACTATGCCATTCATTGTAAATGGTGAAGTTGTCATGAAGAACGACACAACAGTATATAAGTCTGTATATGAAGCGTTAGAATATATGTTGAATTATAATCCCGAAAGATTTGACCCAAGCACTACACCATGTGCAATGCCTTTTATTAAGGACGGTGAAATCGTAAGAGTTCCGGATTCAACGGTTTACACAGCTGTTCAAAACAGTTTACAAAACATTTTAGCGAATATCTTTAATTCAGAAACTACAGAAATAAAATTACCGTATATAACAGATGCTAAAGAAATTAAATCAAAAACAACAACATTATTTACGTCACTTAATGATTTAATGACTTATATCATTAATATTCCTGCACCAACTACAGCATTTGATCCAAACTCGACGATTTGCAGTGTACCTTTCATAAATGACAGTTCATTAATTACTTTAAGGGATTCGACAGTAAATGAATCATTAAAGGCGTCATTAATGAAAATCATTGATTTTAATTCATTCACGAATACATATAATTCATTCATTAATGTTTCATATGCTTCTAAAGAAGGTGAGCCAAAAACTATCAATAAAGCGGTGTATGAAATAAAAGCATCAACGACGAAATTGAATTCGTTAACTTTTGACGGTGATAGTTTCGTTAATGACATAACATCGGGGAAAACAATTTTAACGAAAGAATACTTAAAATCTCATGTTAGTGAGTTCGTTGAAATTGAAAAAGAAGGTGGAATTAAGTTCGATCCACTGAATTTCATTTTCAGCTTAGCGAATGCGGGTGTTAGTTTCGCTGAATGGACAACTATACAAAGTGAAATAAATGCAATATGGACGTTTTTGGGGTCAAAAGCGGGAATGGGTGAGCTTGTAAATGCTGCAAGAACATTAGGTGAAACAGGAAATTTTGTAGATGGTTTTAAAAGACTTGTTTCAAATGTTTTAACAAACACAAAGAAATTATTTAGATATACCATACATAACGGTCAGATTTTCGAACAGATAGCAACAAACCCTCCGGTTATGGCTGCGTTGATGATGGTTAGAGATATAAAACCACGTAACGACGGGAACAAAGAACATGAACAACAGGATACTGGTCGGGTTATTCGAGACATTAAAAACGTGTATCCTGAAGTTATTGATTTATTTAGAGGAGTTAATGATTCAATTTCAAAACATTCTATAACCCTCGATGAAGAGAATAAATTAACAGATTATATATTCGTCATTATTGCAGAATTAATGAAGAGAATAAATGAAAAAGGAATTGGTGATATCATTAATGTCAGCGATGTAATGATGAAAAGAAATTTTGACTCATTATTTACAAAACCGAAAACAGAATATAGTCTTTATGACGTAATTACCGAATTAATGAAAAAGATTAATGATAATAAGAGTTCTGGCGGAAGAGTTGAATTAGAAGTGAATGATGTTAATGAGAAATTAGCCGAAAAAGCAGACAAAAATGAGCTTTTAGCTCTGAGTGATAAAGTCAAGAACCACGTTCATTATATAACTTCAGACGAACAGATTATAACGGACTACCATGGATATTTAACACGAAGTGATGAAGTGAAGACGGAAGACCCCAATGAAAGAAGATATAAATACATTCGTGCTAAAGGTTATGACATAAGCTGTACTGTACAGTATGACACGGGTAAAGCACCAGAAGCATTTAGTTATAACGATGAAATTTATGCCTCTACTTTCTCTGTTAAAGGTGTATTAGTTGAACCAAGATTTACTTTGAGAGTTAAGTCAAAAATAACGTTTGAAGATGCTATTAAAAGTAAAGCTGACAAAGATGAACTTGACGCAACCAACAAAGTTTTGAAATCTCATAAACACAATATCTCCGATATAAATGAACTTCAAGCTACATTAAATAGTAAAGCTGACAAGAACCATACACATGAATCCTTCACTACTGTTAGAGCAGACGACATAATATTGAACTATACCCTTGGTTCAAGTGCACCTTTAGAGAATCCAAGTACAAGCGTAAAAGATACACTAAACTCCTTAAATAGTAAATGTATGAACATTGAAGGTCATGTCAGAAACTTTGAAACACATGAACTACCAGCAATGTTAGATAAAAAAGCAGATAAAGAACATACACATAACTCCTTCTCAACTGTTGCTATAGAAAGTGTTGAAGGAACGGTTGGCGGAACTGGTGGGGATGCATTATATTATAAACCTCCTAACTTTCCACAAGGTTTAACATCGAATGAAAACATAACAACGAAGAAAGAAATTAGCTGTAAAAATGTTTATGTCATGGATGATGAAAATAATGTTAAATTCACTGCTCAAGATTTATATGATAAGAAAGCAGACAAAACAGAGCTTCAAACATTAAAGACTGAAATACTTCAAACATTATATCCTATAGGCTCTATTTATACGTCGATGAATTCAACAAATCCAGAAACAGTTTTAGGTTTTGGTACGTGGAAGCAGATTGTAGATAAATTCTTATACTGTGCTAGATATTCAAAGCAAACAGGAGGTTCGAAGAAAATTAAAGAAGCAAACTTACCCCCACACACTCATACAGGAACTACAAACTTTTCTGGCGACCATAGCCACTCATTAAGAGACCACCCATTATACAACTCAGACTATGAAGCTGGCAATGACGTTTTATCTCCATCTTATAACAATTCAGCAAAAAAGATTTTTCGACAAACTGAACCGGGAGGAAATCATTCACACACTTTCACAACAAATCCAACAGGCTCGGGTGCAGATTATATGCCACCATTTGTGACTATATTCGCATGGTACCGCGTTCAATGAACGCGCTTGAGCCTAGAATAAAATCTTTAACTTTACATAAATGAGCTTGAAAGAAGTATTCGAACAACATCCATGGAGGTCATTTAAGAAGTTCAATGAAGCAGCAAAAAGTTGGGGATTTACTAACAGAGCTGAAGTTAAAAAGTTCTTTGACAAAAATGTTGTACATCAAACAAAAATAAACCCTTACGACTACTTTTTACCAATTTACTCCAACACTCCTGACGCATACCAATTTGACACTCTCATTCAAAGCAGAAAAGGAGGACATAAACCATTCCTCATCTTCATTAATGTTAACACTCGTAAAGCTTGCATATAATGAAAAATAAAGGAACTCGTGAAGTGTTAAGAGTTTTACAAAAGTTTGTAGCAGAACATAGCCCAAGTACTTTAACATCAGACCAAGACAGTGCATACCTCAGTAATGAAATCACAGAATTTCTCATTAAGCATAACATAACTCACTACACTACTGAAGACCATAACCATAACATACTCGGCATCATAAACCGCTTCATAAGAACGCTCAGAGATTTAAATCAAGAGCGAGACTTTACCGAAGAAACAATGAAACATTTTCTCGAAGTATATAATTCCTCAACACATTCTACAACAGGACATACACCAAATTCAATGACACAACAACAAGAAGAAAAGTATATACAAAAGAAACGAAGCCAAACACAAAATATCAGAAATTCAACACAATTTACCCTCATTCCTGGTACAAAAGTTCGTGTAGTTCTTGACGACAAACCATTGACAAAGAAACGTTTAAGGTTAAGTCGAAATTATTATATCGTAGACTCTACGCAAGGTAATGGATATCTTATAAAAGCTGCTGACGACTCCATAGCGTTTTACCCTCGTCATAAATTAGTCGAAAGTAGTAATGGCAAACTTGCTGAAACCATTGACGAAGCAAAGCGAGGAGTGGTTATTGAAATACTTGGCTATAACACAAACGATGACACTTATAAAGTAAGATATGAAGGAGGCGTTGAAGATGTTATACCATCTAAGAACTTGAGAGAGTCGAAGCCAACACATCTGGGACCATTAGAGCGGGAGTACTGGAAAGACAAAAATATGCCAGAAAGAATAAGAAAATTCTTCTAAACTTTTTCATTAGATGTAAATCAGACAAAAATATATTTTAGGTGAAGAGGTGAGATTTCACCTAATTTCTCACCTAATTTCTCACCTCCTTTTTCACCTGTTTTTCACCTGTTTTCTCACCTGTTTTCTCACCGCTTAGCGGCTCAGATTGCTTTAGCTTTCTCGTGAATTTTCATGAATTTCCTTAAGATAGAAAAAATAAAGTTAGTTTTATTTTTATTTATTTTTTTATCTTGTATGTAAAGATATGATTTCAACAATAGGTTCTACAACAATTCAAACAACTACAGCACCAAACTCGCTAGTCATGAATCCTACATCTATGTTGGTAGAGATGAAAAGCTTCATTCCTTCTTCATATACTTTTGAGACAGAAATACAAAGAATTAAGCAAGAACTTTTAACAAGTAATTTAGACTGTAGTGCGAAAGATGAAACAAATGAACAGTATCTTTATGACATGCAGGACATTATTGACCATTTACCCAAATTGCCTGAAATCCAACAACAAAAGCTCACTATTCATGAATTCGATGAAATAGAAGTGAAACCAACTGACTCAGTAGAAATAAAGAAGTTCATACGTAAAGTAAACTATGAGTTTCTAGGATATCATTGCAACCATAAAGTTATGAACAAAGATTGCGACATGGTTTATAAAAACATTTCTGACATATATAAATCTGAGGAGTTTAAGACTACGATAACTTTGTTTCATTAGTTGCTGAATGTGTGTGGCAGATAAGAGATAAAGATAAAAGATGTAAAATATGGAATGGACAAATAAAACCAACAACTTTTGAGTTAAAGAAAACCATTGACGCCTTAGTTGTTCTAGCAGGTCAAATTTCAATGTATAACGCAAAAATGAATCCGCAATGTTCAAAATGTAAAGCAGCAATGAGGAAATATAACTACTCACTAAAAGAGATAGAACGTATGAGAAACGACTATGCTGACTTAAAGAAAGAAGTAGAGAAACCAGCAGAAGATAAAATGGACATGTTAGCATTTCTGAACAAAAACTATCCAACAGCTGACGATTTCCTTCTATCTGACGTCAAGAAGAAGTATAAAGAAACTTTCGGCATTGTTAAAACTTTTGACATACTGACAGAAGAAATAGAAGCTACGAAATTGTTTAGAATTTCAAATATACATCGTACAATTCATGTAAAACGCTTATAAAATAACTGGGGTGAAAAATTAGGTGAGAAAACTGGTGAAATCTCACCTCTTCACCTAAAATATATTTTTATTGAATTCAGCAACAAAATTCTGAGTAAAATAATTTTTAGGGCATGTGTCAAACCGTTGAGTTTTCACAAAATTTAAAAAATAACGTTTACCATGTAAAACGCTTATAAAATAACTGGGGTGAAAAATTAGGTGAGAAAACAGGTGAAATCTCACCTCTTCACCTAAAATATATTTTTATTGAATTCAGCAACAAAAATCATGAATTTTCCTTAAGATAAAAAAATAACGCTAATTTTTTTTCTAAGAAAAATTTTTATTTTGTATGTAAAGACAGTAATGACAAACATTGAGTTTGAAACAGTTAGAAAGATAGACAATGACACCAAAGTGGTTAGAATAGGTGATTTAAACGTAAGATACTCAAAGAAATACAACAAATATTCTTTGTCAGACATTATATCTCCATCTGGAAAGAAAACAAACGACTGGGTTAGAAATGCTTCAACTCAGAAAATTTTGACAAGAAATCCTGAGCTTATGATATCAGTAGCATTTCATGGAACAAGAGCATATCTTATAGACAAAAGTCTTATACCAATAGTTTTGTTATGGTTAGACCCAGTTGTTGGATATAACTTCATAACATATGGTTCATTCGACTCAGAACGTTGCAGTGAAGGCTTACTTTACATCGTTCAGAAACCGAAGGACTTCAATACAAAGAGATATAAGATAGGAAGAACATATAATATAACTCAAAGATATGACAGTACAGTCAATAGAGTCAAGGTTGTGTTCGTTAATGATATGAGAGCTGCTGAAACAGAACTGCTTGAAGTTTTTGAGAAAATGTATGGTGCTCCCATGAAAGGTAAAGAAACGTTTGAAGTAGATGAGATAGATAAAGCTATAAAATTATTTGACGAAGTTGCTGAAAAATACATGTAAAGCGTTTATTTTTGGTCTTTTGTGAAAGTCAGAAAATAAAGTTAGTTTTATTTTTATTTATTTTTTTATTTTGTATGTAAAGACAGTAATGTCAACATCAGAGAACACAACAACTGCTATCGTTCATGAAGCCATAAATGAAGAATATGAATACATACAATATAACAAACAACTTCGCCTCATTCGTTCGGTCAAAGATGACATGTACCAAATGCAAAGTATAATGAATGCTCTTCGTTCTACAAAGCAAGCATATCATTGGTTTGAAAACCAACAGACAAAAGAACTTTTAGAAGAATTTCCTCATATGATTGCTTCCCTCGGAAAACCGAGAGAAGAGATTCCGTATGAAAATCGCAAGAATTTGGCACCTGGTTTGAAAGGATATTATGTTCATAGACTTTTAGTAAATGCTGTAGCAATGTGGGCTTCACCTCGTTATGCTTGTTATATTTTCATGATGTTAGATGAACTATATAAAGCAGAACGTGGAGAGATGGAAAAGAAACTTCAAGCAAAAGATGAAGTCATTGAATCCAAAGACAAAAGCATACAGAAAAGAATACCACGTTCAGTACCAAAAGGAAAGGAAAAGAGTTATAAGTATATGATATATACTGAAGAGTTGGAGAAAGAAGAAGATAAAGATATGGTTATGTTGCATTTAGTCAGAAGAAACAACAAGAGCTTTTATGACCTTGCTAAGATTTACAAATCTGACAGAAACTGGTTCTATCGTGAAAACTTACCGATTTCAATGACACCGAATGAGCAAATAAAGGAAATTGTCAAAAGTACTCTTCCTCAAACACACTATGACATCAAAGGTTGCACAATACTTACATTCAAAGAAGACTTACCATTACTGAAGGAAAAAATAACAGAATATTTCGATAACTTCAAAGAGGAAGAATAAAAAAATATATTTTTGCTTAAATGACGTCAGGGTCAATTTCTTCAACCATTTCACTTTCTTCGTCAATGTCAATAGAAGCTTCTTCAACCTTTGGTAAGAATTTCTGTATAACATCTTTGTTCGTTATTGTCTTCAGAGATGAAGGATAATATTTCACATTTGTTTCACCCTTCTTATATTCTTTCTGTTCGGAAAGATTCATAGCAATACTGAAGAAGTCAATGTTAGAGTTCTTTATGACAGTATAATGAGTATCTTTGACATTCACGAAGAAACCCTTTTGTTTCAAAACTACTGCTAACTCTTGTGAAGTATAACGTTTGCGGTCAATGACAATAGCTAATGGTCTGACATACTGACCAAACTTAGATTCTTTCACAAACTTCTTGTTAAAGATAACATTAACGTTTGAAGCACCATTGAACTCATTCTTGATGGCAGTAGCGAGAGCATTGTATGAAAAGAACTTGCAATCTTGCATGTGTTTCATTAAAATAAAAATATTAAATTATTTTGAAAAATAACTTAAAAAAAATCTAATCTAATTTTTTCAAAAAAATATTTTTTTATTTCCTACTAAAGATGTATCGGAAGTTGTCTAAGTTAGAACACTCGGAAATAAAACAACTTCTTACAGAAGCTAACATAGATGTTGCAAAACATTACGCGACAAACAAAAAAGCACTCGCTGACATCCTCAATGACTACAATGGTGAAATAACTTATGATAGAATTCATGAGTTCATAAATGCAAGAGCATTTCCTTTAAATGACGTTGCTATTGACTTATATCATAGACGTTCAATACCTCATGAAGTAAGGCGTGAGATGTTTGACATAACAAATGCGAACGTTGGTCATACTCGTAAAGCTCTTTCTCATGATGTTCGTCAAGAGATGTTTGAACTTACGAACTCAAACGTTGGTGAAACACGAAAGAGAGATGACACACTGAAACAACAGAGAAGAGAGATGTTTAAAAATGCTATAGAACAAGTTCGCAAAGCTAACGATGTCATTCGTTCCATTGACGACAAACCAAAAGAAGGTGAGAGATGGTTAAAGAAAGATGAAGAGAATAGGAAGAGAAATGTGAAGTCAGGCAATAGACTCATTGACTTTAACATCGAAGCTTTAGATGAACCAAACAGAGACTACTTACACAAACATTTCGGTAAGGTTTTCATGAGACTCTTAGAGAAGATTAAAATAAACTCACAACAGAGATGGATGGTATGTTATAAACTTGGTGGAAAGTATGAATGTTCTACGTTAAACCTCAATAATATTGGAACATTACTACATCAGCTCTTGAAGGAGAACTTTATATCAGAGATAGAAGCAAATGCTGCAGGTATTGTTGAAATGCACTATGACTTCTTCTTGACAAACATAAAGAATCTTACTGAAATAAAGATGTATGATTTAACAGAATATGAAGGCTTAACGATGTCAGATGTAAAGAAAGGAAAGCCACAGAAGCGACCATATAGAGATGAAAGCACACTGACAGAAACAGAAAAGATTATTGAACAGACTTAAACAAACAGGAGATAAACAAGATATAGATGACTTCTGGAATGAAATCCTTGGTGAAAAGAAGTTTTATAAGAAGAGAAGCGGTCAGTTCTGGAAGTATCTTTGCACATTACCTATAAATCTTGAACGCTACCAAATCTTCAATGAACTGAACAAAAGAACTGCAACACTTATGACAGAAGACAATTGTTTCGTTTATGCTTGCATTCAGGCTGGAGTAAATGAAGAAACTATTGACCACATGAGAGAAGTCATTCGTGTTAGAGACTTTCCTCAAAGTAAAGTACAAGAAATTTCTGACGCAACTGGTATAGCATTTAATGTTACCATTGGTTATTTCGACAACTCCAAAGATAACAGAATAATTCACTACATACCAAAAGAATGTGAAACTGCTCGAACTATTGACTTACTTCTTGTTGAACACCACTACATGCTAAATGAAAGATTACCAATGACAACATACTTCATTCGAAACTATAAAGAAATTCTCAAAGCTTGTGGTGGAATGAACATTGAGAAACAGATGAAGATTTATACAAAGAGAGAGAACAAATATGTAGTTCGTTATGATAGAACAACACCGTTATGGGATGTTATGAAAACATTGTGGGAGTGCAAATATTTCGAACCTATTTCTTATGGAGAACTTTTCACATATACGACTGACTTATATAAACAGAACCTTGCACCATTTAAAGATTTGACATATGCTCCAAAGTATTGTGTACAACTGAAGAAGAAAGCAGAGTCAAAAGAAGTAAATAAAAATAAGTGCAAGTTCATTCCTGAGCACGTTTTCTTTGCTGACTTTGAGTGCAGTACCGATGGCTTTCATAAAGCTTTTAACATCTGTTTGACAGTGAAGATGGTTCAGTGAGTGAAAGCATATGGGGTCAAACTGCAACAGAATTTTTGGAGCGACTTCCTGACAAGAGTTTAATATATTTCCATAACCTCAGTTATGATATAAACTTCATCTTAAGACACATGACAGAAGTGAAAGGAACTCCCATCATTAAAGGTTCACGAACAATGCAAATAACTGGTTTATATAAAGGACGGGCAATTATTATAAAAGACTCTTACAGTGTTATAAATAAGAAGCTTAAACTATTTCCTGCTATGTTTAACTTACAAACAGGACCGAAAGAAGTATTTCCATACAACTACTACAGCAGTACTTTGTTAGCAAATGACAACAGAACTGGTGTCATTTCTGAAGCGTGTAAGTTTGTAAAAGATATTGAAACGTTCATGAAGAACATAGATTCCATCAAAGGTTGCAGAATAGATGAGAACCACTTCGACTTAGAAAAATATAGCACGTTTTACTGCAAACAAGATGTAAGAATTTTAAGAGAAGGTTTTGTAAAGTTCCGCAATGACTTATTGAAAGAGTTTGATTTAAACGTTTATGACTACGTTAGTATTTGTTTTATTGCTAACAAATTATTTGAGAACAGAGTGTACTTCCCGAATGGAAATCTTTATGACCTCTCAAATAAACCAAGAGAATTTATTTCGAGATGCATTCAAGGTGGAAGATGTATGCTGTCAGATAACATGAAACAAAAGAGCGAAAAGAAACTCATTGCTGATTTCGACGCTGTTTCATTATATCCATCAGCTATAGCAAGACTTTATACTTTGGAAGGAATTCCAAAGGTTATGAAGGATGAGATGCTAAGCACAGAGTATCTCATGAGACATTTATTCGATGACGACCAAAAGGAACCCATTGGTGAAAAGTTTATGTCTGGCTTCTTTGTTCTCATTAAGATAACAGAGATTGGTATACACAGACACTTTCCTTTAATAGTTTGTGACCCTGAACTAAATCCAGAACTTAACGTTCCCAGAAGTTCAAACACTTGCTGTTTAATGTATGTTGACCATATAACATTACAAGACCTCATAAAATATCAAGGTGTCAAATGTGAAGTGTTGCAAGGATACTATTACGATGGAAACAGAGATTTGAGAATAAGAGATGAAGTTAAGAAATTGTTTGAGTTAAGGTTAAAGTATAAGAAAGAAGAAAACCCATTACAAGAAATTATAAAACTCATTCTGAACAGCATTTATGGCAAAACCATTTTATCTCCTATTGAGTCAAAAATAACCATAGTAGATGACAAAGATGCTATAAGATATGCTATAAGAAATTACAACCATATAGTGAAGTTCGAAGGTTTGGATGGTTCAGATAAAACTATTTTCAAGCTAACGAAAAGCATTTGCAGACACTTTAACTTCTGTCCATTTGGTGTTAACATTCTATCTATGTCGAAGAGAATAATGTGTGAAGTATTCTGTACTGCTGAAGACTTAGGAATGGACATCTTTTATAGCGATACCGACAGTATGCATCTCTACAATGAAGATATCCCTCGTTTAGCTGAAGAGTTTGAGAAACGTTATGGAAGAGTTCTCATTGGTAAAAACCTTGGTCAGTTTCATAGCGACTTCGCAGAAATAACACCTGGAAAACAAAGTTTAGCATACAAGTCAATATTTTGTGGAAAGAAGACCTACATAGACTTACTCACTAACGATTTAAATGAAGTTGCATTTCACTGCAGAATGAAAGGCGTGAAGCAAGATGTTATTGCTTTAACCGCTAATGAAATGTTTCCTGAAGCTATACAATGCTATTACAATGAAGATAAAGGTTTAATGGTTCCGCAAGGAAAATTTGACAAAGACTCTGAGTTCAGTGTCATGAAACTTTATAAAGCACTTTATGACGGTCAAGAGATTGGATTTGACTTATGTAAGTCATGTCAACCTTGCTTTGAAGAGAAGTTTAACTTCTCAATAACGACTAAAACAAGCTTTATTCGTAAGTTGAAGTTCTGAGGTCATTTATTTTTGTCAGCAATGAGGTCATGAATGAGGTCATTTATTTTTGTCAGCAATGAGGTCATTCGTGATAAAAATAAAGCTAGCGTAGATTTTACAATACTGCGATGGTAGAGTTTAAGAGTTGTGCTTCAATGTAGAGACAGTCCTTATGGTCTGGAGGTAAGAACACTGGGCAGTTATGGTCATGAGTGGAGAACATGTCTATCCAAAAACTCACGATTGAAGCCAAATTTAAGTATTAGTTAGGAAGTGGTGAAGTTCTTGTATGACCAATGAACTCATTTTCAACTCCCTTACTTAAGTTTGAATATAATATAGCTTGCTTTCTATCCCAAATGCCAGGTGTTACAATCTTTGAAAATTCATTTTTCCTCGGAAGCATTGCATCATAATTGAAAACATTCTTGAAATCATCACTTGGTTCAGAGATTTGAAATCTTATACGTAATGGATTTTCTTTCTCTTTAGCGACTTCATTGAATGGTGAGAATACAATGAATTGACAGTCATGAGTTCCATCTTCATTTTCATTAAATTCATAATGAAAGTCTATAAGTTGTGGCCGACTACCTTCTTCCTTCAGTTGTGCAAGAAACTCACGTAAAGGCTGTAAAGTTTGTACTTCAATGTTGAACTTTTTCTCGAACATCTCATTAAATGAAATCATACATTGCAACAATGTTGTATCGTCTTTAAAGTATTTGTATATGTGAATGTTTTGGGCGCTTAAAGACTGTTCGTCATTTTCTATCTCGACTTGAAGTATAAAGTCAACCTTTCTGAAAGCACGTGTTATATACATAGATGTTATGCCAATGTACTTCTCTTCATTTATGTTCACAATCCAGTCTGTTGGAAACTTAAACGTTACTCTGTTCCCCTTTATTTTGACGTCAGGGTTTTCACTACTGAACGCAACAGTTAAAGGTATTTGTCTATACATTTAATTCGGATAAAATAAACCATTTACTCTTTCTTTGCTTCAGCTTCTTTAGCTTTTTGTTCTTCCTTTGCTTTTGCTTCTTCTCTAGCTTTCTTCGCCAGCAAACGTGGGTTCTTTTGTCTTCCAGCAGCTAATGCAGCAAGTTGTTTTTCACTAAGTTTTCTCTTTGGTTTCTCTGGCTTTTGTTCTTGTTTTTGTTCCTTCAGTTCGGATAAAATTTGCTCGCGAATTTCTTTCTTCAATGCTTCAACATCTATGACCCCTTGGGTCTTGTCCATATGACTTGTCTGAGTCATTTGACTGCGGATAAAAATCTAACTTAAAACTTTAACCGATGTAAAATGAGCTTGTCAAAATCAGAGCGAGAGTCTATTATATTAAATGACGCAAGAGGAATACAACATCCTTTCTATTACGTAAGTCAGAGTAAAGATGGTAAAATATACGTAAGAAAAAGAAAGGTTCCATTAGCGAATGCAGAAAGCGACAACATTAAGGTGCATGGCACCGAGGGCGAAGCCCATATAAAACCTTCTGTTCAAACTGAGCCACCAAAAGAACCAGAAGAAAAGAAGCCAGATGTACTTTCAATAACGAACCAAGAGCTTATTGCAAAGTTCGTGAATTTCATTGAAAAACAAACCGAGTCAAAGAACCCTGACCCACCAGTGAAAGAAGTTGAGACAAAAGAGAATGTACAGTTCATTGAAAATGTCAAGAAACAACTTCCACCACGAATGCCAAGAAGAAGAGTGAGAATAATGAAGTAAATAGATATTTTTATCCGAAGTAAATACATGCAGAACGAACAGCTAAACGAATTTACTCCAGCAGAGCATATTCATCAGATTCGCTCATATTTCGATATCATAGACAATGCAGTTCAAATTGGTGACACTAATAGAAAATATTCTGACGCAAAGATTCCATCACAACCTGGAACTGCTAAAGATAACACATGGGTAACATTCAATCTCTCACCTCCTGGTGAAAATATGTTGGACCTTTACAATACATTCATTACGTATAAAATGGAAGGTCAATTTATTGTAGATAAAGAAATTGGTTCAGGTTCCAATAAAACAAACCCACCAGGATTTTGGATTGGTTTCGATGACGCTTTCTATGCAGTTGCTGGATATCAAATCCTTGCAAATGGTCGTATCGTATATTCTCAAGACAACGCAAGAGAAGAAGCATATATAACTTCAAACTCACAAACTACCGAACAAATAAAGAAAGTAGATGTTTTCTCAAAGACTCGACATGAAGATGTATGGAGTCATTCGGGAACATGCAGAACAGGACAAATTGTTAGTGGTCCAATTACAGCAGGAAAATCATTTGATTTTAAGCTTCGTTTAAGAATTCCTGTTAGAAGATTCCTTCCATTAGAAGCTATTCGATTTATTCCAGCTTTTGCAGGAAACATTCAGCTTAAAGTAAAGTTCAGTAGCGACGCCTTACAATGCACATCTATATCTGTAAATGATATCATTGCTTTCAATCCAACTCTTAAAGTTGCATTTGCTTCAGATTCAAATCCACCGACAAATAAATTTGTTCCATGGAATGAACCATTCACTATGATAACGAAGGCAGTAGAAGCTAGTGGAACAGTTACTATTACAACTGTAACCCAGCAACTATTTCGAACAAAGATGGATTTTAATGAATGTTTCATTAATCCAAAGTCATTTCTTTAGACCCTAACATTTATACAGAACTTGTAGAACATTATACAAACGAGGCTTTATGTTTTCCTGTTAAAGTTATGGATTGGATTCCTATGGACGGTTCATTCTCAAAGAATACAGATAGTTCAAGTGCACCATTTACAGCAGCTTATACGCCTATTAATGTTAAAAGTATTTGGGCACTATTTAGAAAGAAAGACAACTATTATGTTAATTTTGAGAACCCTAAGTTTAAATATCTTCAGCTTTCCATGGGAGCTTATGGAAATATGCCTGCAGAACCTGAAAAATCATATGGACCTGTATTTTATGAAATGGTTGCGAACGCTTGCAATACAAACAATGATATGATAGGATTTAATGAAGATGTTATGAGGTCATTGGTGGATGATGGTAGTGTGGAACATAAATGGGATAGCTATGACAACACACATTTCTTATGTGGTTTTCCAACAGAAGTGGACTTTTGCTTCCAGCAAGGTCAAACATCTACTGCTCCAATAACATACAAATTGTCTGTTAAAGGACCTATTGAACTAGCAACTGAAAACGTACCAAAGCCACTTATTGGATTTATGAGGGATTGTTGCTTTGCCATTCAGGTGCGTGCTAATGGAATCCCAATAATAAGATTAGATGACTATAACTTAGCTACGGACGACGGTGAGGAATAAAGGATGAACGTTTATTTTTAAAGCTTATAAATGAGTTCTTCATCAAGCTCTCGTGAACCTTCACCATCTGTGAAACAAACTTTACCAAACGATTATGGAGCACCTATTGAATATTTCTTACGAGCTGCACAATGGCAAAGAGCAGTCTCACCAAGGTTAGGTGTTCCACCAGCTCCTGTCAAAAATAGCATTTGGTCAAGTCCTTATATAAGATATGGTCTCCCACTAGGTTTGCTAGCTACAGCAGGAGCAGTTATGATGTTGAAAAGAAATAAAGCAAATGTTGTAAATAATACTGAAGTAGTTGAAGTTAAACAAACTCCAACACCTTCGCCAAAACCAACGCCTTCACAAACAACACCTTCAATGACTCCTGAACCTATGGAAGTACAAACTCCTGTTCAAAAGTCAACTCCTAAACCGACTCCAACATTTAAACCAGAACCTACGCCTCAAATAAATCGTAAAACTCCTGCGTTTCCTTACTGAAAAAATAACGTTATTTTTATTTTATTTGAACATTTTATTTAGAGTAAAATGACGACTAAAGTCACTGAAGCAATGAAACAAAAGTTCTTGGTAGAATACATTAAATCAGGAGCGGTTCCAGAAGGTTTTTACGTTCATACTATGAAGGATGGTAGAGTTCAGTTTAGAAAGATAAAGCAACCATTAGATAAAGAAGGAATTTTGAGAAAGATTAAACTTCATGAGGACAACATTGCTGAACTTAAGAAGAAGCTAGAAGAGTTGGAGAAAGCAGACGACAGTGAGGAATAAAATATTTCATTAGTTTTATTTTTACTGAAAATTTTTATTTGGATGTAATGACGAAAACTATTGAGATAACAAACTACAACGGTCATGAGTTCAAGAACTTGTTCTTCGTTCCTCGTGAAAATACATTCTATCAGATACGAGGGAGAAAGGGTAAAGTTAGTTTAAGCGTTTATGAAGGAATGAAGAATGGAAAGTTTATACAAGCAATAGATACAAACGGTAAACGTGTTTCATTACATTTGTCAAAACTTACTAACATTTATTTTGACAGTGACTTTGACCTATATGAAGAAGAAAGTGAGTCAGAAGATTATGAGTTGTTATGTGAAGCACAGCAATGGGAGGAGTTGCAATATTTTTGTAAGTGAGAACGTTTATTTTTACATTAGTGAAGTCGTTTGTGAAAACATTAGTGAGAACGTTAGTGAGAACGTTTATTTTTATATAAATGACAGAACAAAAATAAAGCATATCTACTCAACAGGAATGAGACCCTTACTGACTATGTATTCGTTTAATGCTTGATGAAAACAATGGTACATATTATCGTATGGGTATACACAACGTCTGTTTCCATCGTCGTCGTATATGTAGAGCTCAAATCCAGTCCAACCTTCTTTTGTACAATATGTAGCTTTATTTAAGTATTCATTTATGTAGATAAGGCAATTTTCTTCATCGCTCCAGAAATAATTTTTGTTCTTTGTTGAAATAGTTTTCGTTCCTCTGCGACCATAAGGAATGTATGCAATGAACTTTGCGTCATATGGGATTGTAATATATTCAGGGTTTCTTTCATCGTCAATGGGTCTGTCTTTGTTAAAATGCATGTTCCTCAGTTTTACTTGAGTTTTAAACAGCTCACGGAAACGTTCTGGGAAAGAGTCATAGTAAATGTAGTCAGACATGTCTTTGTAATGAAATAAAAAATTTAAAAAAATAAAAATAAGGTTATTTTTATTTAGTGAGGACGGTAGTGAATTCGTTAGTGAAGTCGTTAGTGGTTGGTGGCTTTGTAAATATTTAAGGTTAAGTTGGTGTTATGGTTGTGTTGTAAAATATACGTTAACGGTTTTGTAAAGTGTCAGATTGACATATCTTCAGTAAGATGGCGCGCAGTGCCACAGTACTGAAGATAGTCATACTAACTAACAATGCTATTGTCCACGCACGTAAGCAATGTCCATTGTTGAATGAATTGATGAATAGAGTTCACCAGATTATCATTATCTTTAAGAATCACGATATGAGAGCGAGATACAAGATCAGGGTTCCATCAATCCCGGAAACTCGCTGGCTCTACATATATGATACTCTGTTTTTCATCTTTGATAATCTGGAAACAATTAATACTGCTTTAAGAAGTGGAGATCTTCTACTATCCCTTTCCAGAGCTACACGTGAACAGTTACAATGGACACGTGATGGAATTCCTCCACTCTTTAAAGATGCTTTAATGATATTCAAGTCATTAAAGCAACTTCAATTATGGCTGAAATCCAACAAGTCCATGGGTGCTTATGCATTCCTGATGATACAACAGTGCCAAGGGATGTTGGATGACATGGCAGGAAGATTAACGCCAGATGGTGAAGAGATTCTCCGATCAATCACTACAATATTCAAAAATGATATGAAAGAATATGGTAGAATTGATTTGCTTCGGTTTGCTTTCGGCTTTACACCGTTAGCAAGGAAGATCATCAGAGACAAGAAGGGTTTTGGAGGAAAGACAAGCTATCCACCTATAATGCAGTTGAAAGATGTGCAAGTCCCAACGATTCCTTCCCTGAGGATCATCAATCGCGAGATCACATTTGAGAAACTCGGCGAAATCCTTGAAGAAGAACGAACAGAACGTGTTGACGAGGTAGCCGAGCATGATGAAGAGATCCAGCAAGCAGAAGAGGAACAAATGCTTAACGACGATCATGCAGCCGAAACAAATGCCGATGGTTCGAGGAATTCCTTGGTCTGGGATGTTGTAGATGAAGAGATAAAAGATCTATACACATTCATGATAACAATCCTCAGACAAAGAGCAATTGCCGAATCAACAGTTGATCCAACGATCAATAAAGACGATAGAGCCAAGGAATTGAGTGATGCTTACGATTTCTTCATAGAGCAAGATGATTCCCATCTTATAAATGGTCATCATCTTGCTCAAAATGATGGCAAGTTTTGGTACATGAATGGCATAAAGCAACTAAAAGCAATAAGACCAATTGGAAAAAGGATGATGTCACTTTCGTGCAGTGAAGCAGATGTAGAACGTGTAATATCTGAATTGCGAAAGACAAGAAATTCAATGAACGAATCATGCAAAGAAGAATATGTAGCATGCCGCTTCTTCATCAAGTTGAATGATGATCAATTTGATATTTGATTTTGTTTTTTAATAAAATTTATTAAATAATTTGTTTTAAAAAGTATTATTTTTATTCGTAAAGATATTAGACAGAAGGTGGCCAGCCTAATGTCTATCAATCTTTAATATTAGTAGTAATTTCCCGCATTTCTGAATGATGATTGATTAGCTTTGTTGTTATTGATGTAAAACTGGATAAGTATTAAATAATTATATTAATCTTGGCCAGGGGACTGCTGATGGCCAGTCAGCAGCGGCCACTATGAATCATTATAATTATTTAATACCTAAATTGAGGTAAAAAGCAATAAGACTTGCCGAGCCTCATGCCCCTACCTCATATAAATAGAATCACACTTTATTGAATCAACATCTATAAGAATGAAGTGTTTTGAAGCTGAAATAATATTGAATAGAAATTAATTTTTTCTGAAATTTTGAATGAAATTATGGGAAATAAAAAAATTACTAAATATTGTATTCATACAAATATATTATTTTAAAGGAAAAATAGATGCTGATAGAAACGATGACAATTTTTGAAAACTTTACAATTAATTTATGTTCGTTAACCACAGAGCTTGCAATCCAAAGCTCACGTTAGACAACAAGAATCATGAAGTCTCATACTAAGGGATATCCAACATATATTTTAATAATCTAATGTTTGTGACAAATATTCAACATAAAATTAAGTTTTCGTTTCGTTACAAGGCATTCATACTTTGGAGATATCATATTTAATGTACAGAAAAGTTAATATTAAACAATACATGCTAAAGAATTAATAAATAAGATAATAAAATAAATTTATACGTAATTACTTTCATTTAATATGCTTTATGCTGTATAATATTGATTAAGAGGCATTAAAAGGTTCCATAGTCTGCTTTTATAGGCAAGATTTTTGATAAAAATTTTAAATTTTGAAAAATGATGAGAAAAGGAAAAAAAGGTAAATGAGAGCAAGAGGAGGGAAAAAAGAAAAAGAAAAGAAAGGGAAGGGAAAAATAAAAGAAAGAAGGACATATAAAAATTTAGATGCGCATTCTTAATGCCGAGGCGGCTTGCCGCCGAGGCGCGATTTTTTAGGCCTCTACGGTAACCCGGCAATGTTTTTTTAAATCTTGTACAGCCCTAGGCCAATCCCTGTGGGACCCAGTAGTAACTTTCCATGGAAACCACTCAGTGGGAACATTTTTTATTTTTGACGGAAAAAATTCTAAATATTTTTTTCATTTTTTGATGAGTGGGGGACAAACTCGCCCATTGTCACTTTTTCATTAACCTTAAACTTGTAATTTTCATTATTTTTAATTAACCTTATTTCTTTCCCAATTCCTGATTTATTTTATTCACTTACTATTAAAAGTCACATTTTAATAAAATATAATAATTTATTTATAGCATTTTTTACTATACTGTAATAAAAAATTAATTATAATAAATTAAATGTTTATTAAATCAAATGTTTTCTTTGCAATAATATTTTTAATGTTGAGTAAACAATGTTGGGATCAAGTGTATCATTTTTCAGACCTTTCTGAACAGCTTCAAGAGTTAGTATACATATCAAGGGTACGACGGCACTGCGTTCCACCGTACCCATTATATGTGAATTTGACACTTTACAAAACCGTTAACGTATATTTTACAATACAAACGACAACACTAACTTAACCTTAAATATTTACAAAGCCGCCAACCACTTCACCTCACTAATGTAAAAATAAACGTTCTCACTTACAAAAGTATTGCAACTCCTCCCATTGCTGTGCTTCATATAACAGCTCATAATCTTCTGACTCACTTTCTTCTTCATATAGGTCAAAATCACTGTCATAGTTTATACCTGTAAGTTTTGACAAAGCTAATGAAACACGCTTACCGTTTGTATCATATGCTTGTATAAACTTTCCATTATGCTTGTAGTCATAAACGCTCAAACTAACTTTACCCTTTCTCCCTCGTATCTGATAGAATGTATTTTCACGAGGAACGAAGAACAAATTCTTGAACTCATGACCGTTGTAGTTTGTTATCTCAATAGTTTTCGTCATTTATATAAAAATAAAATAAAAAATAAAATAAAAAATAAAATAAAAAAATAAACTTAAAATTAATGATATCACCACCCTCACACGTATGAAAACATAGCGCAAAAATAAATTTAGGTGAAGGTGAAATCTCACCTCTTTTTTCACCTCTTTTTTCACCTCATAATTCATTGCTTTAT